GAAGTGAAGCGGCCATCTGATATGCTCTATTCGCATCAATCGTTATGGGAGGTGCTCCGGTTCCAGCGATGCATTCTGCTTGTAAAGACGGACACTCGTTTCCAAACGTCATCTGGCACGCCATCATTGCAAGTTCTGAATGCCACTTGTTCAGTGAATGATGCTTGCTGGTAAAAAGTCAACAAACACCCTCGCCACTGTGGTGGGTGATTGTTAATAAAATATCCAACGGCTAACTACACCATCACCACGCAAATACACGAGAAACTAGACCCTTGAAGCCTTTTTAAAAATCGTGATCCAACACAAAAAACATGCGAGATTTACAGAAATTCGAAGTGATGAAAAAGCGTTATTATTTGTATTGAACATCATCCGGCCAGTCGGACGATTAGATGATTTCAATCCGTCTCGTGGCCAGAAAAAAGTGTGCCGATCCCATACTATCGCATAACTTACGTCTTTTCAGGCAATCCCTCTTGAAACCATCCAGCACAATATTGATCATCGCCGGCGAAATAAAGCATTTTCTTAACATCTCCTCACAGCCAACAATACCGTATTTTGTGTAACAGAGTCTCATGTCCACATCTTAAATTTCAAATCGGCTCGATAGCACCGTAAACTGAACTTCAAAGCAGAACAACAGCCATTTTTTGTACGTGTTTCGAGCAGCCTAGCATTGGCTAATTTCAAATCTTGCCGCACCACACAACTGCATACGAAGTTTCCTTTCCGAACTAAACATCGTTTCTCAAAAGCAGTGACATGAAATGTGATTTTACTGACGTTCATTATTGACGTTCTAGTTTGATGCTAACGAACCTGTTGTCTGTGAAATCGAGAGCAAACTTAACATGATCGATGCATATTATAGGAAATTTAATGATGAACTGAAATATCGCATGGCGAATGCACGAAGATGAATTGATGCGACTGATATCGAGTATCCTTATGTTTGTGATTATTCCAAATTATAATCGATTGGCGGAAAGACTTCAAAACACGCTGAGCAAAAGTGTTTTGGGGAATTCAGAATTCAATTTCAGAAAGAAGAGAATAATGCGTTCTTACTAAGATTTCTGTAAAGATTGTCGAGATCAAGTGAAATTTTAAGAATGCGTTCAAGCAAACCTGTTGGTTGCGGTAGAACCAGTTTCGGAGGAGTAGGTTTTACAACAATTTTGACACCGATCGCCGAGCATGACTGTTGCACATGTGTACAAAACGGCTGCGATGAACTGGCCTGACAATTCTGGACGAGACTTTGAATCATCACGTCTGAAATGTTACGTCCAATCGATAGTGACGATAAGTGACATTGACAGATGCATGACGGATAATCTTAATGAGGTACCTCGCGAGAACTAAAACGAAAATTTGAACGGAAGCAAAGACCTAATCACAGATAATTAGACGGTTTGCATTGAGCAGCAAAATGCTGCCCTTACGTCACATATGATAATCACGTTGTTATTATGATTTCTGCGAACTGGAATGCTTCCAATGGAATAAAGCTAAACTGAGCGATACCGAACTAGCAATGTTTGCATTACTATTATCGTTGTTCTGATTTTATACATGTCACGTAGAAAAATGATCCAAACACATTAGTAACAAAAAATAATTTGGACATTCCCGCCATTCAGTTAGCTAAATCCCTTGAATTATCAAGTCGAATGAATATAACACAGTGTCAAACATACAGCTAGTAACGCATTCCTCTTGCGAAACCATTAACTCCTTGTAGTTGATCGGAATCGAGCAAATTTGCCTCCACTGAATACATTTCGCAGCACCAAACTTGGCGTAGCATATAGCCAAATAATGCTCTGTAACATGAGCACAGTAAGCTGCGTTGTTTTCAAAGGCTCTATATACTACGATAGCTGTTAAATGTCAACAAAGGGCTACTGATTGGCAATTTTCTAAAGTTCTACACGCATGTAGGCGTTGGTGGCTATAAAAATGATGAGCGAGTGCTGGTTGAGATTATCACAGATGGTTTAACTTGAATAACGGCAATTCACCAAGTGGACACACATCTGTGATTGCTTCTATTCCGTAATAGTAAAGGTGATTGTTTCGCAAACAGATGTCATTTCAACAGTGCGTGGCTTGGAGTACCAGCATTTGTGACTGTATAGGATGCATGCGATCGACTCCATCAAAACTGATCTAACTTATCGTGAAAATCTTTTGAGTACGGCCTTGAAAAACGCTATCCATCATCATGCAGAGGCTAACAATAGAACAAATATCACCAACAACATCGAATATATACCGGAAGTCATGCAATATGCAACATTCGGTGGCATTAAAACAACGGCTCCAGAACGAACAGTTTCACCGAGTATCTGATAGCACGCTGATTGCATCTTCGAACAGAACACTTTACCATATTTTGCAGCGCATGTGTGTACAGTAATATCTAAATGAACTCGTTTCTATAAAATTCGATTTTACGAGGAATATTTGTTCAATTACTAAATTCTTTAAGCTTTGGCATCTCGCGATTGACACAAAATGTTCATTCATTGAAGGCTTTGGTCCGGCATTATGAAAGACCTACAACTTGTCAAACATTGCTTATCAGAGTCGCTTAATGCGCCGAAGTATTTCCAATCGACCACATTGCAAAGCTTGCTCCATTCGACGCACTTCTCAGCCCCGTGTCTTGCGAAACAAATTGCCATCAAATTCTCTGCAATGAGTAAAAAAA